CGGTGTAAAAGTAGTGAGTCGCAACAAGAAACGCAGCGTCAAATAAGGTACGTACGCCTAGTAGTAGTAGTAGTAGTAGTAGTAGCAGCAGCAGCAGCAGGAGTAGTAGTGGTAGTAGTAGTAGTAGTAACAGCAGCAGCAGTAGTAGTAGTAGTAGCAGCAGCAGCAGCAGGAGTAGTAGTAGTAGTAGTAGTAGTAGTAGTAGTAGTAGGCTTTCGATCGCCTGGGGCGCAGGTCCCGTCACGAGGCAGCCAACGGTGAAGACAAGGCAGCCGGTGCCGAAGCACTCTGCGACCAACGGTGCGCTCAGAGACCACCTGTGAATGGGTCCACGGCCTTCAAGCTGCCCGAAACCCTAAAGCCGAAAACCTAGTAGACCCCTTATCCCTAAAGCCTAAACCCTAAAACGTGTTTCGGCTCACTTGCCATAGAAGGTAAGGCTCTGTTGCATATGGTCTGAAACTCTATCCTCGAGTCTAGCTCGGATTTATGTTCTATTCTGCGCTACTCCGGTTCAGGGTTTAGGGTTCCGTTCCACGCAAGGCCGTCACACTCTGCTTCCAGATTCTGGGATTCGGTGATGCAGTGGGGCCAGTAGGGTTTGGGGTGTTTCATTGCTGCTGCAGTGGCTGCAAAGCTTGCTATGATTCTTGAACCCAGATCACTCTTGCTACAGCGGTATGTGCTACGATCGCCGCGGACACTAGCATCGCAAAAGTGGCTGCGTGCTTGAAACAATCTGGACCCCGAACATATAACAGCAATAATGCTAACAAGAAAGGTCATGACGGTCATCATCAGAAACTAGAGTAGCAATGAACATAACCAGTTCCTGACAAGCTGGAAGCAGGATCTTGCCACGATCAGCAAAGCAAGACCAATCCCATGCCATCGAGATCATAACTGCCTTCTCTCTGCAAATTACCCAGCTGAAAAACGTGTAGCCACCATCGATGCATGACATGTGTTCACACAGGTTCTTAAAGGCACGGGACTGCTCCGTGCGCCAACCTGAAACAACACCTCAGTGCGGCCAGACAGAACGTATCGCCACCTTTTCGGCACTTAGTGCATGTATACTCGTTAAATACTCTACAACCCTAAACCCTAAATCCTAAATCCTAAACCGGAGTAAAAAATGGCATGCATCTCTCAAATTGCTGTCGAGTTAAGAGACAGGCCGCCCAGACAGCGCAGCGAAAGGTGAGCCGAACTTCCAAGACCACATCTTCCTGCAGGTTTCTTGAGGGCTTAGGATTTGCATAGGGTTTTGAACACCAAACCCCAAACCCTAAACATCCTTACACTTTAAACGCATGCAAAACCCTTAATTTGAAGTCTAGGGTGGTTTAGGGTTTAGGGTTTAGGGCCCTAAACCCTAACCCAAGCCCCAAACGCCGAAGCCTGGAAGCTCCTCAACTCCCCAGCAGAGCTCCCACTCCGGCGTCCTGCCCGCGCCGCCCGCTGCACCGTAGGAAGCCGCGTCGCCGCTCTCCAAAAGGGCCTTCTTCAGAGAGGGTGAGAGACAACGATCAGATAGAAGGCATGAATATAGGGGCCTTAACAAGTAGAATAGTGTTTAGGGGGTTCCTTATTACAGTTATACTATAATATACCCCAAACCCGATTCTAATTATTAAGGCCCCAATATTTCTCGTTTCTTCGATGGATCTTCGAGCACGGTCAGCCCGAGGCGTAAATTCCGCGGGGCAGACATGCACGTGCTAGACCCAAGGGTTTAGGGTTTAGGGTATGTGGACTCCTAAACCCTTAACCCAAAAACCTTAGACCGCTGCCAAACCCTGCAAGACCACCAGCTGCTGACTAGCCACGGGGCAACAACAGTTGTTTTCATGGTGAGGTTACGGCATCTTGTGCAGAAGATCATGGAGCCCCATCTAAGCCCCCGATACTGCGATCCTTACTATCCGAAGGGCCTCTGAACAAAGTTCCCTACTGTACTTCAAAATACCCTCTCATGCAAACCGAAAGGTCTGTTTTGAGGACCCTTAGCACCAAATCCGAATCGAGCCCCTAAACCATTGAATGGTTCAGGGTTCAGGGTTTAGGGCTTACAGGGGCTTAGGTTTAAGGTTTAGGGGTTCAGGGTTTAGGGTTTATAGATTTATAGGGCTTAGGTTTAAGGTTTAGGGGTTTGGGGGTTTAGGGTTTAGGGCCCACCCTCCCGCCCCACCACCCCATCCCCTCGCTCAGCCCTACGAAAAAAACACTCACTAAGACCTGTAACCCGAAACCACCCAGAAACCCAAACCCTGGACCCTGAAACCCTAAACCCTAAACCCTAAACCCTGAACCCTAAACCCTGAACCCTAAACCATAAACCCTAAACCCTGAACCCTAACAAAAATCCTAAACCCACCCCTCCCTGCACATGGGAGACCTGGGAAGGAGCATCCTGAGCAGCCATATTTCGCAGGTTGAAGGCCTGACTGACTCAGGCTGCGGCTTTATTTTTAGGGTTTTAGGGTTTAGGGTTTAGGGTTCAGGGTTTTAGGCTGCGGCTTTAGGGGTTTAGGGATCTAGGGGTTGAGGGTTTAGGGTTCTGGGATCTAGGGGTTCAGGGGTTTAGGGTTTTAGGGTTTTAGGGTCTAGGGTCTAGGGTTTAGGGGTTTAGGGATCTAGGGGTTGAGGGTTTAGGGGTTTAGGGCTTTAGGGTTTTAGGGTTTTAGGGTTTAGGGGTTTAGGGTTTAGGGGTTTAGGGATCTAGGGGTCTAGTACCCTTAACCCTAAACCCTAAGCCCTATACCCTAAACCCTCAATGGGTTTAGCGTTTAGATTTGCCAAATCATCACTGGAGCACTTTTATGGCTTCGAGAAGAATTTGTAGTATAGGCTCCAGCAACGGGGCTGTCGTGTGCTTTACGTGGCTTCTTCAAGTTGACATGACATAGATGCTAATTAAACCCTAAACCCTAAACCCTAAACCCTAAACCCTAAACCCTACGTTTTAGGTTTTGAGGGGCCTCCGGGCTTAGGGCTACCTGATATTACTAACCCTTCGTGGCTTAGCCCCGTATCTGCCAGTCACTGAAGCTTCCTCAGCCCTCATTAAGCCCTTGTCCGAAGCCTGATCCATTGTTAGGGTTCAGGGTTAGGGGCTTAGGGCTTAGGGCTTAGGGCTTAGGGCTTAGGGCTTAGGGTTTAGGGTTTAGGGTTTAGGGTTTAGGGAGGCTCAGGGGGTTTAGGGTGCCCTCGTCCTTCTTGATACGGTTAGGGTTGCCGGGTTCAGCGAGGCCGGGGTTGGTTGCGAAGCTTTGGGCTACGAGGGACCCGATTTATCAAAGGGTCTTGCTTTTTAGAAGTTCCTTTATCGGTTCTATCTGGGTTTTGGAGCGTTTCCTGTCGGATTTGTCTGTACGTTCCTGTATAGGTACTCTGGGTCAATGTGTATACTCCGAATGCTGTGCAATCCCAACCCATCGATACACCGAAGCTCTAAAAACACAAACTCTGAATCCGAGCCCCTAAACCCTAAACCCTAGTACTAGCAGTAGTAGTAGTAGTAGTAGTAGTAGTAGTAGTAGTAGTAGTAGAAGAAGTAGTAGTAGTAGTCGTCGTCGTAGTAGTCGTAGTAGTCGTAGTAGTCGTAGTAGTAGTAGTAGTAGTAGTAGGAGGAGTAGGAGTAGGAGGCAGTAGCAGTCGTAGTAGTCGTAGTAGTCGTAGTAGTAGTAGCAGTAGTAGTAGCAGTAGTAGTACTTATTGTCGTCGTCGCGGTCGTGCCGGAAGCAGCGCCACTAGCAGTCAGTAGAGATGTTATCAGCAGCCTTCGTCAGCAAAATGGTCATGACCCTGGCCACGGTCAATTGCGGGTCCGTGCCACCATCACCAACAGCATCACCATCACCATCACCATCACCATCACCATCACCACTGTAGTCTCCACTGTAAACAACATCGTGCTCTACTCCCTGAGATTTGTTCTTCAATTCACCACGAGCATGATGGGAGCCTTAGTAGCATACCTCAGCAATGGCAAATGCATGCATCATCATGGCAGTCATCGTAGCTGTGGTACGGACCTTCCTACAAACCTCCTCAGCTCAAGTTGCGAAAACCCGGCGAAACAATCAGACCCTAAACCCTAAACCCTAAAAAACCCTAAACCCTAAAAACAAAAAAAAAAGCCTGCCACTGAAGAGCCCAGCTGCTACGAAGGGGTTTCAGTAGAACTTCAACGAAGTCTTGCTTGCGGAGGAGATTTAGAGCTTAGACCAAAGTGGCTGCGGAAGCTCAGCGCCCTAATCGGTTTAGGGTTTAGGGGTCTAAACCCTAAACCCTAAACTGCAACCAGGCACAGACTGAAACTCTGTCATCTGAACCGAAGGGGTTTGGGGGTTCCTTTTAACAAGGGGTTCCTTAAAGGGTTCTACAAGGGCTACTATAAAGGTTTAGGGTTTAGGGGCCTTCATAATTAGCATAGGGTTCTGAGGGTTCCGTATTGTAATTATAGTACAATATACCCTCAAGCCCTGTTCTAATTATTGAGGCCCCTATATTATAGGGTTCAGGGTTTTAGGGTGTAGGGATGAGGGGTTTAGGCCTTGATAGGCTGCAGGGCACGCGAGTGTTTTGGAAATACCTTGCAACGAAGATTTCAGGATCAAGTTGCAACTCTTTTGGGTAGAGTTTAGGGTTTAGGGTTTAGGGGTTTAAGGTTTAGTGTTTAGGGTTCAGGGTTTAAGCCTCAGGAATCTGAACCCCCCCAAAATCTTGAAACATGTATCATATGGGTAGTTCTCTAAAATAGGATCCATTTTTGGGGTCCGCAATGTAGTACGGCACCCGTATAAAAAAGGATCCTAAAAGCGCAGCATCCTAAAAGGGCCCCTACTATAGAGAACTACCCATATGGGTGGTTGTCAAAATTATGGTCCCTTTTTGGGTCCTTGTTATAATACGGCACCTATTATTTAGGGTACCCCAAAAGGGACCATAATTTAGAGAACCAACCCATATATCTGCGACTCGAGATCTTGGAAACGGTCCTTCGGGTTTAGGAAGCTTTTGCTTAAGGTATAAGGATTCGGATTCTGGGTTTAGGACACAGTAAAAGTTATGTCCTTGAGTCATAGAGTTCGGAGTTTAGCGCTTAGATTAGCATTTAGGGCACATCTGCAAGCTAACTCGTGCAAGTCTTCCATCGCGACGAACAGATTCTTTGCTTCCACTTCCCCTTGCGCTTGAAGCTTCTTCTACCGAGGAACAGCTGCCATAAACCCTAAACCCTAAATCCAAACCGCCTGCTCCTCCTAGGAAATTCTAGAGCCACACACTGGAGTCTTGAATCCATGAGCCCTAAACCGGCCCAAACCCTGCACCCTCAAGATGAAACTTAGACTTCAAAGTTCCATGGTTTCAAAACATGCAGGAAGCCGAACATAGACCCGTAATATCAGGACCACGACCAGGGGACCCCGACATCCAAAAAAAACCCACGTCCTTAAACCTAAACCCTAAACCCTAAACCCTAAACCCTAAACCCTAAACCCTAAACCCTAAGCCCTAAGCCCTAAACCCTAAACCCTAAACCCTAAACCCAAAACCCAAAACCCAAAGCCCTTGAAGCCAAAGGCACGTCCCCCGGGAGCCAAGTGCGGCAGGGTCTGCGTCGCGTCCGGGAAGAGGAGCAATGCCTGTCTCGGATCACGGCCAAGGCTCATGTAGGGTTTAGGAATTAGGGTTTAGGGCTTAGGGCTTAGGGGTTTAGGGTTTAGGGTTTAGGGTTTAGGGGTTTAGGGGTTTAGGGGTTTAGGGGTTTAGGGCTTAGGGTTATTGTTTTAAGGACCTTTTTCCCGCAGGTGTCAAGAGGGGGAAGCTCAAGGTTTGGGGTCTAGGGTTTAGGGTTTAGGGTTTAGGGTTTAGGGTTTAGGGAAACTGCCCTAAGGCTCCATGTACCCACGTAGTATATACTGAGGCCTCAAACGGGGCTACTAAACCCTAAACCCTAAACCCTAAACCCTTAAAGGGGGTTTCTATATCCTAAACCCTAAACCCTTAAAGAGGGTTCCTATATCCTAAACCCTAAACCCTTAAAGGGGGTTCCTATATAGATACTTTCATGCCTAGGTATATTCTATAAGGGTACATGGAGCCTTAGGGTTGACAGCTGAGGGGAGACGTAGGGTTCAGGGTTTAGGGGCTTAGGGTCTTGTAGGTTTCGGGCTTGGGGTTTAGGGCCTAATGTAGGGGCCCCTAAACCCTAAACCCTTATACTATAAACTATAAACGCTGTGTCATGCCGGAAGCCGAGAAACTCCGGAGGCGATCGTGGCAGGGTCGATACAATTTTCTTGGGTGTCCGAAAGAGGGGCTATAATACTTAGAAGAGGGTTTTTGGGTTTAGGGTTTAGGTTTTAGGGTTTTGGGGGTATATTGTAATTACTATATAACTATAATAAGGAGCTCCCAAAAATTGCGTTGGTAATTATTTAGGTCCCCCTAAACCCTAAACCCTAAACCCTAAACCCCCCTATTACGCTCGGCGGCACTCTCGCGAGGTTCAAGCTCCCTGCGCAAGCGTTGTGACTGGAGATGAAGAGTCGACCCGGAGAGTCCAATACCCTTGAAGTAAGCGGTTTAGGGCGGTTAAGGTTTAGGGTTTAGGGTTTAGGGTTTAGGGTTTAGGGTTTAAGGTTTAGGGTTTAGGGCTTATACCTTAAATGATAAGGGGCTTCGTATGGGTAGTTCTCTAAATTAGGGTCCCTTTTTAGGGGTCCTTGTTATAAGGGTGCCGTACGATATTGGTGACTCAAAAAGGGATCCTGATTTAGACAACTAGCCATATTGTGATTTGAGCTATATTCCTTCATTAAGGGGTATCGGGCTCTCTGGGGAATACATATTCTCTGAGTAGCTTTCCTCGACACGTGGCCCCTTACTGGACTGGACTAGGTGGAATCTTCATGACAGCCTAGACTAGGTGGAATACTCATGAGAGTTGCAGAAAGCAAGGGAACGATGAGGAGGAATCCCGAATGTTCCGAAATTCTGCAACCCCGCGACTCCTAAATCCCAAACACAAAAGAACCCCGTCGGCCCGAGCCCTAAAACTCGTCGGCCCGAGCCCTAAAACCGTGAATCCTTAAACCCCCAAACCCCAACTGCTTGAAACACGCACAGTCTCTCCAAAACTCAGGACCCCCTAAACCCGAAACACAAAGCCCCACACCCAAATCCCAAACATTCCTATTAAACCCCAAATCCTAAACCCTAAACCCTGGCAGCCCTAGCACAAAACTCGAAATCCTAAACCCCAAACCCAAAAGCCCTAAACCCTAAACCCCTAAACCCTACACCCTAAACCCCTAAACCCTAAACCCTAAACCCCTAAACCCTAAACCACTAAACCCTAGATTCAAACCCTGACAGCTCGGGTCCCGACCCGATCGTAGCACTGCTGGTTCGGCTCATCTCCACAGGGATTTAAGATGCAGATTTAGGGTTTGGGGGCTGGGGTTTAGGGGTTTAGGGGTTTAGGGTTTAGGGTTTAGGGCTTTTGGGGCTTAACTCATATTGAAATTCGGCATCCCTCTGTAAATTTAGGGCTGGCTTCAGGAGAGGGCATCCATCAGGGGAATAGGCAAAATGGGTTGAGGTCTTGGAGTGAGGATCCAGCCTGAATCTCTACAGGGATTGAGGGTTCATCCCTAAACCCTAAACCCTAAACCCTTTTTTCAGAAGAGGGGGGGTTGCACAAAACAGCCCCAAAAGGACAAGTAATAGTCATTCCGATGCTTGTGGTTTCTGAGCTCCCTCGAAGTCGAACTCCCAAATAGGACATGGAAACCCTAAACCCTGAATCCTAAACCCTAAACCCTAAACCCTAAACCTAAACCCTAAACCCTAAACCCTAAACCCTAAACCCTAAACCCTTGAGCCCCCTCGATGTCGAATTCCCAAATAGGACATGGCCTGGCTGCTCCGTAGGCACAGCCTGCAGAGGGCTACGAAGATGCAAAAGCAAAGAGGAAGGGTTTAGGGTTTAGGGTTTAGGCTTTAGGCTTTAGGGTTTAGGGTTTAGGGGTTTAGGGGTTTAGGGTTTGGGGTTTAGGATTTAGAGTTTGGGGTGTGGGGTTTAGGGTTTAGGGGTTTAGGGTTTAGGACTTGAGGCTCCGCGGTTTGGAGTGCAATCTAGCAGCCTGGCTTGCTTAGTAACGAATGTTCAGGGTTCCTTGCTATGTGTATTTTACACTAACCCTAAACCCTAAACCCTAAACGCCAAAACCCTAAACCCAAAAACGCCAAAACCCTAAACGCCAAAAACCCTTTTCAAATCTTATCAAGGCCTATGTTATAGGCGCTGCACAGCCTAGACTCCTAGACTTCACGTGGTTTACGGTCTAGGCCCAGGGTTTGACGGTTTGCAGCTTGCAGTTTACTCTGCGTCCTACACCTCCTTCCCCCTAAATCCTAAACCCCTAAACCCTAAACCCTAAACTCCTAAACCCTAACCCCCCCCCCAAAGGCCGGAGAAAGATAGAAAGCCCAATACCCCTTAATGAAGGAATATACCTTAAATGATAAGGGGCTTAATATTATGGTTTAAGGTATACTCCTTAATTAAGGGGGTATTGGGCTCCCTGGGGTGTGTTGCCGTCACCTCTGGGCGCTCTCGTCCCGGAGCCACAGGCTGTGGAGGATGACGAAGAGATGGGGGACTTCTTAGGGCCCTCGAGCCTTTGCTTGTGTGAGGTTTAGGATTTAGGGTTTAGGGTTTAGGGTTTAGGGTTTAGGGGAGATCGTACGTACTTTTTTGTCTGGTTTTCGATAGGATGCATGTGCGGCCGGGGTTTAAGTAAGGCCGCTAGGATTTGGATCACTCCGTGGGCTGTTGGTTCTGGGTGTACTCGTACTTGAGCGCTGAACCGAAGTCCCAATGTCAGGTAGGAGCAACTTTGCATTTGGTGTTCTTTCCGGATGGCAGCTTTGGGATCAGAACGAAAAACTGTCGGGATTGAGTTTCAAACTTACGGCTCCTGAACATGGCGAAGAGAGCCATGCACAAGTAGATTACCGAAACAGCTTGCTGAACTGCTAGGCCCTGGGATCTTCCAGCAGAGAGGGTGTTCAGTTCAGGGTTTAGGGGTTTAGGGTTTAGGGTTCAGGGTTTGTTCGTGGGGTGTGTGTGTGTGTGTGTGCAGATGTTCGTTTAACACCTCTGTGTGGTTGGCATTGCTCCCCGTTCTTCCCCCTGAATCCTTCCATTCCGGAAGACCCGAAACCAGAGGCTCACATCTGAAGTGCTCAGGTGCTGAAAGCCCTGCATACCCAAAAAAGTGCCAGACTGATTCGAAGGCTGCTGCTACTGCTCATCCTGCTGCTGCTGCTGCCACGACTCCTAGCAGTAGCAGCAGCAGCAGCAGCAGCAGCAGCAGCAGTAGTAGGAGTAGTAGTAGTAGTAGTAGTAGTAGTAGTAGTAGTACTACTACTACTACTACGACAACATCAACAACAGCAACAACAACTACTACTGCTACTACTAGTACGTTACGATAGTTCTAGCACAGCTTGTTCATGCCTCAGCCTCTGAAGCTCTAAGCCCCCTGTGCAAACCGCCGAGCCGAGGAAGTCTCAAACCTGAACTTAGCCCGTCAAATCCTCAAACTGCCGAAAGTTGCCTCAAAGCTTCCAGTGCAAGTTCTTGCAGACACCTGGTTTTGGACTTGACTCAGAGCGGATTGACCCTTGAAGTTTCGCATCCCTCAGCCTCAGCCTTTAACTCGACCTGCAGAGTCGGTGGAGGGTTGACTATGCATACACACATATACGATGTATGTGTATGTGTATATGTATATATATATATATATGTATGTATGTATGTATGTATGTATGTATGTATGTATGTATGTATACATATGTATGTATGCATGTATGTATGTATGCATGCATGCATGCATGCATGCATGCATGCATGCACGCATGTATGCATGTATATGCATATGTAAACGGATTCGTATATGGATA